CTGGGCTTCGGCGATCCTGCCGCCTCAGCCTTCCAAGTAGCTGGAACTACAGGCTTGCGCTACCATGCCTGGCTAATTTTTTTGATTTATTGTAGAGATGAGGTCTCGCCTGCCCAGGTGGGTCTCAAACCCGCGGACTCAGGCATTCCACTCACTTCAGCCTCCCAAAGGCGTGGGATTACAGGCTGAGCCACTGAGCCCGGCTTAAAAAAAAAGTTTTTAGTACTCCTATGAACACTGAATTGTTGAGAATGCCATTCATATATTTCAAGAGAAACTATCATAAACATTTAAAATGCTATTTAAAAAAGAGTGTTTTTAAGGGTGTTTAGTTTTCCCTATGAAGAGTGAGTCAGCAACTCAAAGCCCAGTTTCTGTCTGTTAAAACCTGAAATCCTGTCCAGTGTAGATTTTTTTCTTATTCGAGTACCTTTAAAGAGGTCATATATTGTACAAGAAGAGAAAAGAGCTTTTGTTTTGCTGAAAGTCCTGCTAATCAAATAGAATGACACCTGCTGCAGGCTGGGATGAAACATTCATCCTTTTGTCTCCTCTCTCTCTGGGGGGGCTCATAAAAAAAAAAAAAGTTGTTCAAACAGGCCCCTGGCCAGAGGTGCTTTAAAATACAACAGTGAAAATCAGAATCTGTCCCAGGCTTGCTATATGACTTCAGTTGTCATTTAAGATGACCTAAAGCAATCTCCGCTTTCAGGTTTGTAAAAAGGAGGGATTCTGCCGGGTGCAGTGGCTCACGCATGTCATCCCAGCACTTTGGGAGGCCGAGGTGAGAGAACTGCCTGAGTCCAGGGGTTTGAGACCAGACTAGACAACATGGCAAGACCTCGTCTCTACAATAAATAAAAAAATTAGCTGAGGTGGTGGTGCGTGCTTCTAGTTCCAGCTACTTAGAAGGCTGAGGTGGAAGGATCACCTGAGTCCAGCAGTTAGAGGCTGCGGTGGCTGTGAGCATGCCACTGCACTCCAGCCCAGGCAACAGAGTGAAACTCTAACTAAAAAAAAAAAAAAAAAAAAAAGGAATTTTTCCTTAAAAAAATCTTCCAGCAAGAAACTAGGCATAGATGTTGCTGGCTGAGAGAACGATAACAAGAATAAAGGAAATGTGGAAGGCCTCAGGAAATGGAATCAAAGAGTGGAGAAAAGTCAGAAAGCAGGCTGAGATCAGTAATAACAAGGACACCACCTACATTTATTGAATATTAATATATTGTGTTAAAATATTTTTATCATATTTAATCCTCACCTCAAACTTGTGAAGTAAGTGCTATCATTAAACCCATTTTACAGATGAGAAAATTGAGGCATCAATTAGAGGCATAAAATGAGGTCAAATGACTGATAAAGTCACACAGCTGGTGAAACGCAGGTCCACCACATTTTAGACCCTGAGTCCTCTATTGTTACTTTGTTATGATTTTTTTAAAAATCACAAGCAAGGTGAGAGTCATGGTTGCTAACTTCAGAGAAAGTTCAGGAAGCGCTGCTAAGACCCTCTGTATGATCAACAGAGGTGAGTCAGATCCCACGGGCTCTCCCAGCCTACTCTGGGTCTTCCTGCCCAGCTCTAGCCTGGGTGAGGAACAATTCCCTGGAGGTACAGGCCCCATTCTCAAGGAACTTAGAGAAGAATGCCATCGCTTTTCACATTAACTTGGCCCGCTGTGCAGGTTATGGCCTCTGCAAGGACCCCTGACCTGGCGCCCTGGAGGTCAATGAGGATGGAAAGCTAGTCTGAACTCCACTCTCCAAGACGTCAAAGGGTGATGACGGATTGTATTCACCTTGTTTGGGACTGCAGCAGCCCAGAACTCAATCCAGAGAAAAGAGGACCTGTTTTGTGATCCAGCTGGTTGTAGCCCCTGGGTGGTCGGTAGGTTCCAGGAGAGCAGAGTCTTGCAAGAAGGGAGTGATCCCCGGTCACCCAGTCCCAGCTTGTCGTGTGGCAGTGGGACAGAGAGCGTTAAAGGATGCATGGGTTGTGCCTCACAATCTATGGCATTTCCTCTCCGCCTGCCTTGATTCCTGTTGTAACCACCTGTCCTATCTGCCCCTCGGAAAGGGCTGCATTTTATTCAGGTCTGTAACTCCTCCAGCTGCTTCTAAGCACACAGTCAGTACTCAGGCCACAAACATATCAAGTGAGTGAATGAATAGGCTTGTTCTGCCTGGGATTATCTGCTGCCTGTGGGGCAGGGGGTGTTTCACAGAAATACATTCGGTTTGTGTTTTAATTCATACTTAATTTACTCTTTTTTTTAGCATTTTGGACAATTTTTCGCGGTTAAAATATGTGGCATAAAAAAAAAATGTGAAAACAAAGCTAGGCAGCCGGTCTGGATGTATGCCAACATCAAGAGCCATTACCTAATGATTTTAAAGCATCTGATTGAGTTGATTGGGTTAGGACTGGAATCCACCCCCTTTCATTGTGGACGGATGCACGTGGGTACACATGTGTGATTACTGT